CTTCTTCTTCCTTTTCTTTCTCTCGGCAAAGTTTATATGTGCTTATGCTTTTGGTTCTGCTTGTGCTTCTACCATAAACCCCATATCCTTTATATAAAGCAACTGAGCGTTGGACAGAGTCATTAAATTTGACTGTTGAAGCAAATAATATTAGCATTGCATCGTATAACTATTGAGCATTGAAAGGCTGGCAGCTAAATTAACGCTGCAATAACGCAACTATAGATGCAACACATACAGCTACGGATGCAGGAATCTCTCAGCTATGATGCAACGCATGCATGCAGCTACAGGAATCTCCCAGACCTTGGTCGCCGAGACTCCATGGCGACCTACCTACCACGCCGCCGTGACCTACACCGTTCGACGTGCATGGCCCATGCACAGTTCCCACGTCCCATGCACAACATGCATCCCACAACTCCCCCATGCATTCCCACATCCCATGCACAGCATGCATCCCACAACTCCCCCATGCATGCTCCAATACTATTTGATTGCATGGCGATCTACACCTGCTCCTTTGCAAAATACCACACAGGTCGCTCGGATGCCATGGTGACCTCCAAGGTCGCCCGGATGCCATGGCGACCTCCAAGGTTACTGTAGAATTCACCCCATTTCAGCAATTAATCTGGGATGTGCATTATATCGTGAATAAAAAAGTTCGAGAACATTATCTCGTGAATTCACCCCAAATACATGTTTGAAAAATTGAAGATAGGCATATAACAGAACTATTATTACATGCTAATGGTTATCTTAATATGTTTATTAAATTGTATATATTAAAGTATTTGAATCTGCTGGACAGGACAGCAACAGGCTTCCAAGGTGTTTTGAATGTACAACTCTCCGTCAGCCATCGGTTTGTGTTGCTTCTGGGCTCAGCAGACTCGATTTTTGGGGTTTTGAATGTACAAATGGTATAGTGCAGCACAAACTCGTCGTATTTTTAAATGATCCCTAGTCAGTAAGTCCCACGTGGACCAATATTATAATATATTTGCAGAGACTCGGCTCCTTGATGTGACGAGTCCCGTGAGAAGTAATTTCATTTTTAAATTCAGTAAATAATTAAAAAATAAAAAAAGAAGATGAACACGTTTTGTCAAGATGATGAGTTCCGCTTGGATTTAAAAATAAAATAGTAGCTAGGCAATGGACAACTTTTGAACTTTAAAAAGATTGATCGTTTAAATTCGTCACGTCGAGGTAACGAGTTTTATTGAATTTAATTTAAAAATTAATTTTATTACATAATAATAATAAAAGTTCTTACAATCTAATACAATGAATAATAAAATTTATTTATATTTTCGTAACTTGTTACGATACCGAGGAGTGGTTAAATGATAATGGTGCGGGGCTCGTCGAGTACGTTGTGGTCGTCCACCTTGATCGTATTCGTCTTCGTTTGCTTATTTAACAGACAATCAAAGCTGAAATCAATGTCGAGTTCACCTTAAAACCACACAGAAATATGGTTGGATACAATCCGGATTGTTGTATATATATAATATTTCGCTGATGCAAACCTATCAACGTCATTCCCTGTTGACGAATGTCTCGTTCTTCTTCCGGATCGAGTTTGACTAAAGAAATATGGACAACATCAAGGCATGTATATTTCATATCGGTAGACATTTTTCGAGAATTCTTCAAAAAATATGATTTTTTTCGTAACAATAACACAATAAAAATCATAAACCCAAACCCCTATTTATACCCAAAACCTAACGATTATAAATGATTATTTTTTTCAAAAATCCAATCGAACTGGTGACGATGTCAAAAGCGACCGTTGAAATTTGACTTTTACAGTTGTCGGTTGCACAACGGCTATAAACGACTATTTTTTTTTAAATTCAATGGGAACTTATCACATCGACGAGATGAGTTTCTCTGTTTTTATTTTAATTTTCTTTTTTGTAATTTTTTACTAAATTCTAAAAAACCGAAATTATTTTCTACGAGACGAGTCTCTATAAATATATTATAATATTAACTCACATGGGATCCACTGACTAGATACCATTTAATAATAATTCACTTTGATATGATGAGTTTATGTTGTATTATAACATTTACCGTAGATTGTAAAATAAATTCAGACGTGATCTATTGGGGCAATTAATTTACCCATCTGTTAGTTTTATGGGTTGGCACGTTGATGTTGGACTTTTGGGTTCGACTTTAGAATGGCTTAAAATTCTTAACAATGTCGTTCGTGGTTTGGGTCAGCAGTGGATTGTATGAAGGGTTTTTTTTTTGGTACAATAAGGTAAATAATTTTATTAATTAGTACGTATAGCAACTTATTTTAGAATATATGACATTTGTTACGATGTTCAAAGAATTCGTCATGTTGAGGTGATGAGTTTGTCTAAATAAGATTTTTTATTCAAACTCGTCATATCGAGGTGACAAATTTCAATAAAATATAATTTTCTATTAAATTTTATCACATTGATAAAAATAAATAATTTTATCAACGTGACGAATTTCAAGTCACAATAACAAATGCCGTAGATCCTTAAATAAATTGCTTTGTATCATATTAAGCTAAATAATTAATATGCGTATAATATTGTGCTAAAATTACCTAATATGAAGTTATCGAAGAATATGAAGATTGCATGCATGCAAGTGGTTCACATAATCTTAAACTGCTTGAATATGAATGATGTTGTCTTGGTCAAGGGTAGCCGCGCCGCATGCAAACGTGAGAAAGTTGTCGATGCTCATTTGGCAATTTATGTCTATCAAATTTCGAAGCCTCTAAAATTCCTAAAAAATTACAAAATTTTGTATCTTTCAATTAATTGTAATCTCTTGACGAGATATTAGTTATAGTTCTTTGATATTATCATTGGTAGATTTACATAATTTATCATTTACGCCCATTATTTCAGAGCCGCATCTATTTATTCTTTTAACCTACGAATAGATATTATTAGTTTAGGCCTAACATCAACACCAAAAATTAATATATAATTTACCATACAAGAACAGAAAAAAGAGTTTCTCTCTCACTCTGTTAACTTTCTTTAACTCTTTTTTTCCCCTTTGATTAATTATCGTTCATTACTTTTCGTCCAAAACAAGAATAAACCGTGAAAAACTACCATGATCTTATTTTTCACTACAGTAAAATAGGGTTTTTCACGGTGTTTTAAGAGCAAACACCACTAAATTTCAACAATCTTTAATCTGCATGGGCCTACTGTCCATTCATTTCCACCTCACGATTCTTCCATTGTTGTGTTTCTTTAATGTTAAGCAAAATAGCCTTAAATGTTGCTGATTTGGGGCAATGGGAAGTAGGTGAGACAATCTTTAATCTGCATGGGCCTACTGTCCATTCGTTTCCACCTCACGATTGCGATTTGAAGATTAAAAACGGATTGATAAGAGGGTATTGTGCATGGATAGTTGCTTGGTTAGGTTTTGCCTCTTTTGTTTTGATCAGTCGATATTTGCTTAGAAAAGAGGTTTCTTCCTATGGCATGGATGACTTCGTCACTCCATCACATTTGCAAGTTGTTTTGCTGTCCTCTCATATCAACTTTTGACTAATATTGAACTAAGCAAAGAAAATGAATGATCTTTGTATATGTCAACACATGCATACAAGCTGGCAGCATTCATGCAGTTAACCTAACGGTGGGCTTCGATCCGAGAATTTTTTCGAAATAGATCAAAATAAAATTTTAGTCATAAACACTATCATTGACATTAAACAAAAGAAAATGTTAGAGATTACATGAATAAATTCTAGGTATATGTATATGCCATGTCTTCATGATATGAAATAGTTAGGGATGAGAAATAGGCGGGATAGGTGGGAATACTCCTTCTCTCATTTCTATACTCACCTAATATTTTTGTATCCATCATCTACCTACCACCCATAACGAGTAAAATTTTTAAATCCACACCCATCCACGCAGATACATTCTTAAATTCATCTCACATCCACTACCTAAATGGATACCCACCACCCATCTCGTACTGTACCTAACCTCTGAGTTTCAATAACTTGATCAGAATCCAACCGAAAGTAGGCTTACAATTAGACAATCTTCATTTATACCCTAACATTTGATTAAATTATAAGTCATGTCCTATAAAATTTTAACATTTACATAATAGTCTCTAAAATTATACCTAAATTCATAATGATTCAAAATTTATATGGTGAGTAGTTAGTGGATGGTCGAATGTGGGGTAGGCGGATGCGGGGCAGGTAGGATCTCAAACCCATAACCTACCCACTACCCACGACGGATATGACTTTTTATATCTACACCCACCTACAACCCACTAAATTTATACCCATCATCGTCCTAATTAAAACGGATACGATATGAAATCCACTAAATTGTATCCGTATGTCATCCTTAGAAATAGTAGAAACTTGGTCCTTAAAAACGAAATCCCCCATTGAAAAGGGCAGTAGGGGCATGATAGTTTATCTCACGTGGTCTATGTATGACATGTCTAACTTTATGATAGTTCATCTCACATGATCCATGTATGACATATCTAACTTTATGGTAGTTCATCTCACATGATCCATGTATGACATGTCTAACTTTATGGTAGTTCATCTCACATGATCCATGTATGACATGCCTAACAAGTTGAAGCATCAATGACTCACCATGAACTCACTGCATTCATCCTGAGTACAACTTTCAGAGTCTACAATTCACTTTGTTCGGTTGGGGCCTCCATTTGGATGGCAAATGCATGGTCCCTTTATCTCAGCAGTAAGACATCGGAAAGGTACAATGCCCTGTCAGAAAGTTCCAATCCCACGTCCTCTTGTAGGAAAAAAACACCAATCCATGATGTCTGCGTGTCTCTTTCCTCGCTATCTTTTCCTTAAAGAAACAAAATCTTGTCAAAATCGATAAAGTTTGATGATTCAACCACCCCATTTACATCTCCTTTAAATACCATTTGCCCAACCAATTCATTCAACACCTCACAAGTATACATGACTCAGTTTGGTTCGATGAAAACGAAGAATCAGTTGCTCGATCAAGTCATGATCAGAGTTCCGATGAAATCGACCGTGTTTCGAGTCGAGAGAACCCCGAGACGCTACTTGCCTGATGCCCCGGGGTATGCAACGTTTAGAACAAGTAAGTTTTGGTTTTAACTTTGCATGGAAATGTGAATAACGAAGATGATTTTCGGTACTAATGGTGAAGTTTCGGAATTGCAGGCAAAGGGAATTTTTTACTTAGAAGGATGAACAAGCTAGGGAAGAAAGCTGATAGTTTCGCACACGGAATCCGAGAGCATGGTAATGAACATTCTAAATATATACGAAAACTCGAAAACTCTAAAAGGAATCGAATATATTCGAATCTGACATTCAGATTTCCGAACTGCAGTGAGATTGGGGCCAAAGATCAGTGAAACAGTGAAGGGAAAATTGAGTTTGGGGGCAAGGATTCTTCAAGGAGGAGGGGTGGAGAAAGTTTTCAAACAATTGTTTAGTTTTGGAGACGGAGAGAAGCTGGTTAAGGCTTGCCAATGCTATTTTTCAACAACATCAGGTCCCATAGCTGGCCTGCTTTTCATCTCCTCTGCAAAGGTGGCCTTTTGCAGCGATAGAACCATCAAAATTTCTTCTCCAAATGGAGAATTTCTCAGAGTACATTACAAGGTACACATATCGATTCCATCCCGGAATAGCCCGAGAGAACTGGCAGACTCTAAAAATTCTAAATTCTAGTGATTTCTAGTGATTGCGCCATCTCATGTTGTTGGTGTCGATATTTATGCAGGTTTTGATCCCTCTCGAGAAAATAAAGGGAGTGAACGAAAGTGAAAACGTGAAGAAACCATGGCAGAAGTACATGGAAATCGTCACGGTCGATGGTTTCGATTTCTGGTTCATGGGGTTCTTGAATTATCAGAAAGCTTTCAAGTATATCCAGCAGGCAATGTCCCGGGGACGAGAAGATGTATAAGTCACTTCCTAGGCGGCTTGTAGCTACGAATGTTAATGCCCAGTTTTCATCATGCTGTTACTGTTGATGAAAGGAGGAAGTCTAAGAAATGTAAACAAGTTTTTGTTGATTCAAAAATATTCTCCTCAATTCTTCAATCATGTTTAGATATATTTTCGATCGGTCCAAAAATTTAATTAAAAAACTAATCACGACGAGATTTAATATATTTTCAATTATCACTTTTTTTGCCAAACTAAAACATAATTTAATAAATTATTATTTTATTCAAATTAATAATGTAAAATCCAAAAATGATTTAATTGGAGGCTATAACTAGGGGTGCTTAATGAGTTGAGCCCCTCGAATTCGATTCGGTCAAAATTCGATAAAAGCTTGATTTGGAATTTAAATTGACTCTACTCGAATTCGAGTTTGACTCGAGACCTTAACAAGCTTAGTCGAACAAAGTCAAACTTGACTCTACAAGTCCGTGAGCAAGTCATTAATTTTTTTATAACCTTTTAGTAGTTATCATAAAATTTTATTTCATTAAAAAATTACTAGTTTACTAATAAATAATTTAAAAACGATAAATTACTAATCTATTAATTTTTTTAATAAATAATCAAAAATACTAAGTTATTAACTAATTTTATTATTTTACTACACTAAAAAATTAAACCTTAATTATTATTTTAATATATTTATAGATTTGACTTTGAATTTGTTTTATACACTCTTTAGATATTTTTTTGGTTAAATTTATTAATTTATGTTTATATTAAGTTATATATAGTGTTAGTAGATTTTATTTATAGGTTAAAAAAATAAAAAATCGGTAAACTTAACAAGTAACGAGCTTAACTAGCAATGAGTCGAGTAACAAATTTTCTTAACGAGCAACGAGTCGAGCCACAAATTTTCTTAATGAACACGAGCCGAACAAAATTTTAATGAATTTAACGAGCAACGACGGGTCTAGTAAAGAAAAAATTTAACAAGCACAAATTGAGCACTGCTCAACTCACAATCAACTTGCTCGATAAGCACCTGACCATTTTCTAACACCATATATGTCAATATTTATATATTTTTTTATTAAAACCTAATATATATATATATAGTGTTTTTTTATAATTATCTTGAATTGGAATGACATGAATTCTCCATAAAATTAAATTATAATTACCAATATATTAAATCTGTACAAAAAATTAATCCTATTTTATATTGATTAAGAGTACCAAATTTGATGAGTGAAAAATAATACATGCAAGTTTCCTTTGTAATCAAATTTATCACAATTTCCCTTCCTGGATGTGGCTAAATGGTATCCAAACGATCATTGATCATTTGGTCTTAATGGAAAGATTTGATTAAAAATCCGTTTTTACCCGTAATTTTATAAGTTTAAGTTTATCCCGCTATCATAATTTCATGCTTCTATCCCTGTCTATATGAATGCCTGAAATAGAGCATGCCCAATTCAAGAATACTAATAAGGGTGTATTTGATTCACGGAATGTAAGATTACCAGTGAGAATAAAAGATTTTCAGAAAATAGGATTACTGAGAATGTTGTATTTTGTGTTTGATTGGTTTAGCAGGAATGTAAGATTACCGTGTTTGGTTAAAAGAATAAAAGATTATTAAAATGTATATTTGACCAAATTGTCCTTATTATATATATATATTTAACAAATTAGAAAATATTTAAATGTTTTCTTTAAAAAATTTAAATTCATAAAATGTATATAATTTTTTTACAAAATTGAAAATATAAAAAGGTTTAATGAAAGGGTAAAATTTTATTTTAACCCATTAATTTCATATAAAATTTTAATTATAGTTTTTTTTTTATAAATATAAAATAGTTTAAGGATAAATTTGTAATTTAACCTTCGTAGAATTTTTATTATTCAATGATAGAATAAGAATATTTTTGAAAAGAAATTTTTTTTAAGAGCATTTTAGTCCAAAACGCTGGTAATCCAACAATACCTAAGGAAATTGAGATAATGACATTTCCAGTAATATACCTCAAAAAATCCACTATTGGTAATGTAAGATTACCGGGAATGACATTCCCAACCAACCAAACGGGGAATGTGGATTTCATTCCCATGAGAATCTCATATTCCCCCAACCAAACACACCCTAAGATGCTACACAGCTTTATTGTCATGGCCTCAGACAATTCAATAGAGATGTAAGGACACAAATCAATGGAGATGTAAGAACAAATTACATCACTCCACAAAGTCAAGGAAAGAGTAATATACATGCAAAATACACATACGAGCAAAACAGTAAACAACAAACATTACTCCAACCAAGCTTCATGCATAACATGTACAAGACGCGGAAAGAAATTGCTAAAAGCCCTCACCTGCTATGCCACTCTACTTGGCTTTGAAACCTGGTCAAGTACTTGCAACAGTTAAGTGCTTCATCGCAAGCTACCTTAGTTACATGAGGGCAAGACCTCACATCAAGGTATTCCAAAGAATTGCATCGACTCAAAAGCATACCTATTCCCGACACTGTGATCTTCGGACAGTTACTGACTTTCAAAACCTTCAAGCGGAACTCAATTTCCTCATTTCCTTGACTTTCAAAAGCAGCATCTGTAACCTCCTCGCAGCATCCGATATCAAGCGCCACTAAGTTCTTGCATTGTGTTAGAATACATCTCAATGAAGAATTAGAAATGTTTAAGCACCAATCCAACAGCAAATTCTTCAAACTATTTTTACACGCAGCCGCCAACGACTTTATAGACTCATCAGACACACTCCGGCAACCACCGATTATAAGAGTTTCAAGATTTTTGCAGAATTTGGATAATGAGAATATGGACTCATCTCCAACTTTATAACAGTCCAACAACTTGAGCGCCTTCAGAGGCGACGAACAAGCCTCGGCAACCTTGGAAACCCCAATATCCCCAACATTGCTGCACTTGTTAATGTCTAAATACCTAATATGTTGGAACATCCCTGAAGACCCAACTCTATTAGATTCTTATAATTCCTAGAAAGAGCTCACAGCAATCCACCGGTGACAAATCTGCACCCGGCAAGATGGAGGCTTCTCATGTCATGGCAGCCTTCAGCAACAAAGGACAATCCCTTGTCTGATAACTTACGGCAATATGATGCGTCCAAAGACTGCAGGGAAGGAAGACTGCTACCAATCAAAGCCAATCCTTTATCGGTAATAGCTGTTATACAGAGAAGACCCAGGCGAAATAGCCCCATTTAAGAATATAGAAGTATCCAACCAAGTGGAATTCATAAACCCAAACACTTAAAATAGAGAAACAGGGCTCATCAAGCACAATTATCAGTTAAAAGACGAAACCCCAAAAGCAATCCAAGTGTTAAATTTCAATAAAAAGAGAACTTTCCCAATAGCCACGAAAGTATACACTTTTTACCTTTGCAATTTTGCAGCTTGAGCACCTTCAAGCACTTGAAACCTCCGAGGATGACGGCGAGATCAGAGTCGGTAACCCCGGGATAAAAAGACCTGGAAACGGACTGAGAGAGGTCCAACTCCAGCACACGTGTGAACCTGGCAGCCATGCGGTTGAGCATGTGCTATCCGCGCGTGGAGAGAGCTTCGTCCTTTCGGTACTCTGCAGATGCAGCCATCTCTTGCAGACCAGACCGATCTGATCTGCGTGAGGGTGGCCTTTAAAAACAGTTAAAACAAGCATACGACGCCGTTTAGAATACAAACGTAAATAAATTGGCCCATGCAGGTTTCGAACCTGCGACCTTCGCGTTATTAGCACGACGCTCTAACCAACTGAGCTAATAGGCCGTTGAATATTACCTTAAAACAGGTAATATTGATTCATTATCTTGTTCTTACCAATGAAGGTCAATTACCTTTTCTCATGAAGTCATTATGAAACAAATAACAATAGAATTAGAACAAGAAAAAAGTGGAAATGAATAAATGGTTAAAATTATATTTATGTTAACTAATGAGTATAGCATAGGAATAGAGGCATGTGTTAATTAGCCACGTGAAGATTTTGCTCTCATTCATGTGTGAATAAAGTGATACGAAAATGTCCGTTTTTGATCATATACAAATGCCAACTTCAGTTAGTAGCTGCTATGCTTTTCAATCATAAAAGTTAAACCAGATCCCTACTCAAAATCCATCCTCTGAAGCCACAAATCCTCATTTTACAAATGGGACACCGGAATGTACCCCGCGTCCGTACCCCTCATAGTCCGAACCGAAGAATCACTTTAAGAAATACACTTCATATGGTATTCTTTCTGCAAAGAATTTCCAAACAACAATTGCAAAAGCAACTGTTGATATGGGATTACAGAGCATTATTTGAGTGCCAACTGACCAAATGAGGAAACCAGAGTACCTGGGATGTTGGACGAATCTATAGACACCGTGAGTAACCAACCAGTGATGCTCCTCATGGTGAACCTTGATAAGATGCGTGAAGGCTCGGCCAGCAGTTATTATAGCCGACTTTCGTACAATTTCCCCTATGACCACCAATGCAAGACCTGTGTTACTCATCCACCAGTGTCCATTCAACCCAGGAAATAGAACGATTTCAACAACGTACTCCAGCAAGGAGAAGATCATCGCGAGAAGATAATTTTTGCTGATTAGAAGTGACTTGAGAGTCACATTCGATCTCCCGTGAAACGCGACCGCTAGAATGTATTCCGAACTATGAAAGAAGGCAACAGCCAAGAACATCTGAGATAACTTTCTGCAAGCTGTATAACCTAAAATATCTATCATTTTGTTAGATGAAAACAAGTCAATTTGTGTCCCTGAACTCAAGTTACCGAGTTGTCCGATCTCAGCGAAAACTCGGATGTAGTGTTCTAAAGTTCAGCTTAGACCTGTAAAAGATACAGAGCTGGCATGAGCAGCACCGGAAGTGAAGTCACAACATATTCCCATAGATGGTTTAAGAACAGCATATCTCCAGCTAAAGTAAAGAGAAAAGGCAAAATTGTTCAAGCATTAGAGATTGTCAATAAAGGAAAAGTCACTAACAATTCTGCACTCATTGAATTTGATGTTACTCTTTTATTGTGCATACGATTAAATGAATTAAAAAAAGACCCAAAACATGAGAAACCTAAAATCCATTGACTGCAACTATTTTAAGCATCTAATATTTGATCTGTTCTGGGAAGAGAAAGGTTAATCATATAAATAACACAAAAACTGGAAATTTGATATAACAACTAATATCAACTTCTCCTAAATATTAGAAGAGTGCTGCAATTCATCGACATTCGAACAGAATGAAAAGCGTGAAGAGACTTGAGAGACAAACCAGATCGTTCGATGGAGGTCGTAAGCAGCAAGCCAGCAACTGAAGGAAGGATTGGAAATTGAAATCGATCGATTACCCGTTCAGGATGGGGCCATCGCCATTCGCCATACCCAGTGGTTTTAATATTTGGATTTCAGGGTGCGTTTGTCTTTAGGAAGATCAATTCATGGAAAATTAATTTAGGATAAATTATGCACTAGTACCTAAATTATCAGTTTTGATTCGTTTTAGTACTTAAACTTTCATTTTTTTCAAAATCATACATAACGTGTAGTTTTTGTTTCATTTTAGTATCTCGATTGTTAAAATCTTATCATCACTATTTTTTATGGGTAAATTACATCGTTCATTACTCAACTATCTTTTCACTCCTATTTTGGTAATAAAGTTTAATACTTTTCAATTTAACTTCTCAACTTTTAAATTACTCTTATTTTAATCACTCTAATTTATTTTATTAATAATTTTTGTGACATTAATTTTTTATTATTATTTTATTAATATATAATTTAATATAAAATAAATAAATTTGAAAGTTAGAGTGATTAAACTAAGAGAAATTTTAAAGTTAAATAATTAAATTTAAAAAATTTAAACTTTAGTGAGCAAAATAAGATTTAGGAGATAGTTGAGTGATGAATGATATAATTTACCCATAAAAAAGGTATAATGTGCAAATCACCCGCTAAGTTTTTAACGATGAGGTACTGAAACAAATCAAAAACTAAAAGTTAAGTATGGTTTTGAAAAAATAAAAGTTTAAGTACTAAAATAGACAAAAACTAATAGTTTATGTACTAAATGAGTAGTTTACCTAAAATCGACTCGAAAAATAATATAAAAATACTTATAGATAATTACAAAATACCATTCTCTATATTATTCTTTTCAATTAAGTCTCTGTTTATTAAATAAAATTATTAATTTTATATCATTTCGGGTAAGAGTCGGGTTTTATCTCAAAAGTCGATTGGAATTACTCTAAACTCGGGCCGGGCCAGATTTTGCATGGAGGTATAAAATTTTTGGGTCAGGTCAGGTTGTCCGGAAACCTGACCCAACCCGACATATGCCCATCCCTAATACTAATCACATATCTTTTAAGATCCTTTCAGTTCGGTCACCAAATTTTTAAAACTTGTCTTACGCCATTAAATTTTAAATTCGTTTATATTACGTTCATTGTGATTAGCTTCCAGATCAACAGTTAATGAGTTATAATACCATCGACACTATGCCCACCCTCAAAGAACATCGCGATGAGCAAATCAAACAAAGGAGCATCAAAGTTTCTGTGGAATAATCGTTCACCTTTCCGATGGTAATAGTTCTCAACGTATCGCGACAAAATTCTTAAAGTTCAGGTTAACCACGCAATGAATAAGTGAAAAACAAATATGAAAGTGAGAAGATGACGTTTAGGGTTAAAATGTGGAAACAGGGCCTCAGGGTTAGAAATGCAATTGTCGTGTGTATCTAAAATAAGAGCATGAGTTTTGAAGTCCATTCACTCACAACCATTCATGTTGATTATCATTTATCAAGGACACATGGAAAATTGTTGATCTTAAGATTTGATTCCATGGTAGGTGCATTGGTATTATATTTATATTTAGGGTAAAATATGCGTTTACTATCTAAACTATCAGCGTTTTAGTACTTAAACTTTCAATTTTTTAAAATCATACCTAACGTTTAGTTTTTGTTTCATTTTAGTACAACACCGTTAAAAACTTTAGTTTTTGTTTCATTTTAGTGTCCTTTCAAAATTTAAAGTTATGTTCTTAAAAAATGAAAGTTTAGGTACTAAAACGAACCAAAAATTAAAGTTTATGTACTAAAACGAACCAAAACTGATAGTTTAGGTATTAAACACGCTAAGTTTTTAACGACGAGTACTAAAATGAAATAAAAACTAAACGTTAAGTATGATTTTGAAAAAACTAAAAGTTTAGGTATTAAAACGGATCAAAACCGACAGTTTAGATACTAAATGTGTAATTTATTATTATATTTAATATGTTTATAAAAAAGATAAATTTTGAATTTGGTAATTGAACTTTTCTCTCTCCCCTCCTATTTTACTCATTGCACTTTGAATTTTTTCAATTTCCTCACTAAATGTAATACATTGAGTTTTTTTATCGCTTAACCGTTAAATAGTTAACTGCGTTAAAATGGGGTGTTATGTAGATGAAAAACGACGTCATTTTGGTAAAAAATTGCTTTCTTAAAATGATTTTATTTTTAACGTCGTTAACTATTTAACGACAGAGTGATAAAAATATGAGAGAATAAAGTTCATTGACAAAAAAAACCCAATATATTAATGAGGAAATTGAGAACTTTTAAAGTTCAGTGAGTAAAATAAGTAAAAGAGTAAAATTCAGTGATGAAATTTATACTTCACCCTTAAAAAATTGAGGTGCTCTTTATTAGAAAGTTGGTGAGCTTACCAAATTGTTTGCCTGTTGGTTGGTGTTTTTAAGGCAATATTTCTAAAGCTTAAAACGTTAGAAAATAATAAAGAATTACAAATATTTTATTATTGAAGCATGGTCGATTCTTCATCCTCTTATACAACAAATTAATGATAATGTTAGTCCAGTTAAATTCAATATATTAGTGAGAATATCAATCTAATTAAACTCAATCAATCTCAAATGCATATTAATTAAATTTCATCATAACATTTGTAATGCACACAAATGATCCTCTGACTACACGATGTTGTTTTATTGAGTCTATCAACTATTAAAATTTATAAAATGATTACCTAACTATTCATTATGTTTCGAATTCTTCTTTTTCGCTAAAAATGTTATGACAACCTAAGTTGGATATTAATTTATTGTTTAAGATTTGGTAAAATTTGATCCCAAAATCTCAATCGAGTATCATATCTCATACAACATATTATCATCCAGTTCAAACTACCGTCAATTTTTTAATAAAGAAGGACAAGATTGGTACATAATGAATAGTCAGGTTAAAATTTAAAGACTTTTAATAGTCAAATGACTCAACAAAACAACTTCCTATAATAGAATGACCATTTTGTAATTTTTGACAATCGTAGAACTCAAAAAAATAGTATACTATAGTCGGGGGACCATTTGTGTAATATCCCCAAATCATATATAGGCTAAGTTTCAAAACCAAAAGGGGTTTAAAAAGTAATTGTACTAGAAATGAGAGTTAGGGTATTATTCACATAGTTTCAAAACTAGTAGGACCGAAAAAGTAATTGTACTAAAAAAATGAGAGTTGGGTTTGAGAATTCCCTTTGTATTTTATATAAACAGAGCGGTGGCTTCTACTCTACTCTACTCTACTCTACTCCATGACCCGAGACGAGACGGACGGCGGTGGCGACGGCGCGCGAGAGTCTCCCTTGTTCTTTATCACTCAATAAGGAAGTGGGAAAGGCAAGCCTTAAATACCACTCCCAATAGTGTTTCCAATACTATGTGGGATTGAGCATTACCAACACTTGTTTCCAATACTATGTGATTATTCAGTAAACAATTAACAATCATGCACCTTAAAACAACTGAATCAGCAACCAATTGCATTAGTATTATACGATTAAATATGTCATAATTAAAAGTCAATCTACAATCAATCGCGATTATTGCAATTTTAAACAAAACATTCAAAAAAATTGCATCACTCGCGAGAATAAAAAAAATTGTTATCGTGCAATTACAATCAATTGAAAATAAATTATAATTGCATGAAAATTAAACGAACTACAAATACTTTTCATACAAATACTAAAGTTATTAACTATAATTCACAAATAACATCACTATTTAAGGCTCAATCCCACATAGTATTGGGAACAAGTATCCACATAGTATTGGGAACAAGTGTTGGTAATGCTCAATCCCAAATAGTATTGGAAACACTATTGGGAATGGTATTTAAAGCTTGGCTTTCACACTTCCTTGTTGAGTGATAGAGAACAAAGGGGACTCTCGCGCGCCGCCGCCGCCGCCGTCCGTGTCGTGTCGTGGCGTGGTCGTGGTCGTGGTCGTGGTCTTGGACTATCTCAAAGCGAACTTGGACTATCGCAACGAATTTGGAATAAATCGCAACGCGAACTTGGACTATCGCAACGAATTTGGAAAATCGCATTGCGATAGTCAAAGTTCGCGTTGCGATAGTCGATGTTCGCGTTGTGAATCTGGAAACTGATTTGCGATACCGGAGATCGCGTTGCGAATTATCGGTCGCATTGCGATTTAGTTGGTCATTTTGGCAAATCCAAAAAAAGTTTGTTAAAATCGTATATTATAAGGCATTTTTGGTCACTGAGGTTATTTTCTCTTTTAATTTTCAGATGACAATAGTCACTTCTAATAAAAATAAGGGTAAATTACGAGTTTAGTATTTAAACTATCAATTTTAGTCCGTTTTGAGGATATAAATTTCAAAATTTTCAGAATCATATCTAAAGTTTTGAAAAATTAAAAGTTTATGTATTAAAACAGACTAAAACTGTTTAACGGCGAAATGCTAAAATGAAATTAAAATGAATGTTAGGTAAGATTTTGAAAAAAATTAAAAGTTTCAATACTAAAACGGATCAAAATTAAAAATTAGGTACTTAATTTACCCTAAAGATAAAATATTAATAAAGTGAAATTTCTCATTGTCAAATTCTAAATGTTGGATGAACAAGTAGGAATTCTCAAAATTAAGAAATGTATAATTTATCTTTTTTAAATTTCGAGTTTATTGTTTATATAATCATATTGGCACATGGAAAATGTCATATGCATTTGATACCACAATGCCACATGTTATAATATTATGTATTTAAAAATATATATTTAGTCGCATTATCAAGCAAGGTAATAAAATAAAATAATAATATGTTTTTTCTTTGAGGTTACATATCAAACGGTTTTAATGAATGTTTATTGTTAAATGATTAAAAGTTATATTAAAATAAATAGTGTCTTAAACTTAAATTAATAAAATAATAACTATTTAATTACAATTTAATATGTGTTATTGTCACATATTTGGTTATCAGTTAATTCAGTTCGAAATCGGATAATTAATTGAATTATTCAACATTATTAAATATTAA